AACTTTCCTTTAAACAAACGAACTCAAAAAAAATATATATATATATATAGAATGTTAGTACGGGGATTTAAACAAATGGTAACGGTGAATCTGGAAAATTGCAGAATTTGAAACCCCTTCGATGTCAATGCCCCTGCCAAGCATTCATACCCAAACAGAGGGCACTTGAAAGTTGCAAGGGTTATTGCCCCAACCAACCTTTTCCGTACTTGACATGATCACTACATAATAAAGGGCTTGTCACGTGGCATCAAATCGAGAGAGAGCCCTTGTCGGTGCCAAGGGTCTACACAGACTGCGAATGAATCGAGTAGTTACGACTTATCGACATACTTTGTCATGTTTACTCTCCGAGGAGCATGAGAAACAAATATAATTTGGATTATTTATACGTTCGATTTACATGGTAAGCTTGGATTCGTAGGTTTAGAAGTCTATCGAGTACAAAGACTGTGTTTCATTCACGCATATAACATGCTACAATCTCAACATCTAGACACCATCCTCTGGTGGAAAGAGCAAAACAATGTAACGTATGCACACTTGTATACCCCTTGATCATAGAGTTTATAGTTCATGTACATAAATGACAAAACATTCACATCTTCAATTTGTAAATGGCGCACACTCAAACAATCGACTTTTGAATCGATTTTTATTCAAATGTATGAAAAGGAAAAAGATAATGAGAATAAGAAAAAGATATAAATAAGCAATGGGGATTATTTCGACATTATTTTACTAACATGCTTGATTCGGATGTGGCAGCTTATAATTGGGTCTCTGAATAAGTGGGCCACGTTCAACATCCAGTAAATTTTGTCACGTCACATAATAAGCCGATTTAGTAGACCCGCCCTACCCTCTTAGTATATATGGTATTATGCTATGTACAAAAAATGCGAGACTTTGGAGTCGTAGCACCATTGATCTGATGTTGAGCGGAGCTATTTGATATTCTTTTTTTGTCCACCAAAATCGAACTTTGCCCCGACGTTCTTTCCTCCGTATCGTAATATCTAAGGAGTAATACTAGCCTTATCAAAATCGATTTGTGAATCGATTTTACTAAGTGACGTGTCAATACCGTGAACGGTCTTAAATAAGTTGACCATATTGAAATATAAATAATAGCCGGACACGTCTTTCAGCAGACCATTTTTTCCCAATATCTAATTGAACCATACATCTATTATCGGAAGTTAAACTTAATCTATTTGTTTCGCGGAAAATAAATGATTTTGAAAAATATTTTTTCAAAAAATAAAATAATTAGTCAATGAAAAAAGTTCATTCATTTATTTTCCTAAGAAATAAAAAAATTATCATCTTAAAAAATATATTTTTTTAAAGTATTCATTTTTGGCGAAATAAAGGGGGAGTTAGAATTAAGTTATTTAATTGGGGATTAGGGCTTTTCTTGCGGATCCCGCGACCCGTGGGGAAACCATTCTCTCGTAGGTTTACACGCGTCCAACAATAAGGTGGGGCCCCCTATGTCGACCTGTAAATAGACCGCGCCCTGGTCAGCTGTGAGCCGTCCGATCCAGATCCGAATCTGGCGAGGTGTCTCGTCGGCGTTCGCCTCACACGTGGCTGGTCCCACCTGCAGGACCCCTACGGGAACGCATCTCTCTCTCTCTCTCTCTCTCTCTGGGTGAAAGAGATCGCCTGCTCTTCACCCACGTGAGCCCGATTTCACATCTGCCGGTGATTTTCGTTCATCTACAGCCCTAGCGACACGTGGGACTCGGACGGAACAGCCAATGAAAGAGGTCGAGTTTCGAGCTTTTGCTGGAAAAGCAAAATTGATTCGAAGTTCTTAAACAAGTACCTTTTTCAAGCAAAGGGTTATGAATTGAAAATAGGAAAAACTCATCTGAGATTAATTTCCGAGGTTGGCATAGTTGGTCACGGGGATTTTCGGCTTAGGAACAGAAGGTCATCCCGTTTAAATTCCACCAATTGTGCGCAAATTGTTCTGAGTCAAGGTCATATGCTTGGGTCAAAAATTTGGATTTGATTGGTTCACGGGGTTTGCAGGGTTTTTTATGAGTTTCCAGACAATCATATGCTCATGCTCGTGTCCCTGAATTATTTGCTTGCATCGATTGAAATTCTTCTGACGATCTAATAAGAAGAGATGATCCGAGATAAAGATTCGATTTAAAAGGGATAAGGGAAGATAGCGATAACTAAAATTGAAAATACAGAGCGAGGTCATCGACACAAAATCAAGTACAAATGGGTAAATGACTAATAACATCGACCACGTATAGTGGGATAACTTTCAATTTTTCCTCTCAGGTTGCCGTCAGGAGAATAGGACTGTGTGATGTTACTTGTTTCGATATGATAAATAAGTCCGCTATTGACGAGTGAAATAATGATAAATGAGGTACAAAGGCCGATTGATTAAGTTATTTCAATATTTATTTATAATTTTTCACACCATTTTGCAAATCAATTTAAATCAGTTGATCCCTTTTACACCATTACACGAACAAGTAAAAGGGATAAATAAAAGGGATAAAAGAGCAATTATTAATCTCCACTATAAATTTCGCGTGATATCAAATTGGATAAATCATAACGGTCCGACGTAATATGTAGAAAAACACAACTAGCCACTGAGCGGGCAACAAGTAATTTTTCCGAAAAAAAAAAAAGACACTTTTTCCGTAGCTTGGTAAGGTGTCCTAAGCTCGATTGGCATTTGAATGTCGTGCAATTAGGGATAAAAGCTAGTCCGACGTGGCCATTAATGGGAAGTTTCCTTGCGGGGAGACTTTTTTCGAATGACAAGTATACCCTTGTTTTAGCCTAAATTTCCATCGAGCGGTCAAAATTCTACCTAATGCGTGGGCCCCAGTTGGGACACCTTAACTTGCCACGTAGCCGGCTGGGATGGTGCACCTGTCGCGCGGGGCGGGGGTCCCACCCAAAAGTTCCCTCTAGATGATTTATTTAGATTCCTCGTGATCCGGTGCGGGCTGGCGTAGGCAAGGCAAGGGCATCGACATTATAGCCCAGGATTGAGCATACTTCTAGATTCTAGAAGAATCGGACCCGTGGGGATCTATTCGGTTCCAAGATATATGGGATAGGTTTCAAGTTTCAAAAATTAGAAAATCTGTTTCGACGGATAGATTCTAAATTATTGGTAGATGTAATTTGAAACCTGAAACTTATATCCCGTAACAATTTTTCATGTTTTTCTTTATTTATATCTTTGCTCGATCCTGTGGTATTTTATGGCGTTGATGGGGAATGTGTAATATGAAATCACTAGTCTGAGTTTCCATTTTATAACCGAGATTTTTACTTTGTCAATGTCTTTTATTTTTTGCGTGTCTAAATATAAGTTTTTTTTGCTAGAAGTGTCTAAATATAAGCTGTAGTTAGTGGATTATAACAGCACATGAAGGTCATTAAAGGTGATAATTCACTGTAATCATTCAATTAACAAATCAAATGAACCTGAGTAGACCCTAGAACGGTAGGTTCCAAGTTCCAATATATGCAGGGTAAATTTCAGGTTCGGAGTTATACAAGGTAGATTCTAGGTTCCAAAAAATGAGGAACATGTTCCAACGGATAAGTTCTAGGTGGAATATGTACAAATCCTAGAACCGCTCATCCCTAATTATAGCCCATCAAACGCTCGTTTTTTTGGCTATTTTAGTTTAGAAAATAAGCTTGTGATTATCATTCATTAATCAGAACTCCATTTTTTAAAAAAGGAAAATTGATCTTGACATTTAAAGGTGAGTTTGTGATTGATTAACTCAAAATTTCAAGTTACCGCACGAGAGAGGCTGTATTGATATGTGGTCGTTATAAGTTTTTGCGAGTAAAAAATGTGAAATTGATTTTATCATCCCCTCTCTTATATAAATTCGATGAAAAACAAATCGTGGAGCTCGATAAAAAGGAAAAGTTTGGTGATTTATCGAAAGGTTCGATTTGCTCCGATTCATTGATACAAGAATTCATGCATACGCGAAGTAGCGATTTTTTACAACCATATCTATATATGAAATCCAGGGGCATGATGCACGAGGGTCCGACTATCCGCAAGACTCAATAGACCGACTAATAACTACTAAAATATTAAAAAAATTGCTTTCATACGACTACTAGATATATTCGTTTTAGATCATAGAAAATTTACATACACGGAGGTGAAAAGGAGAGTGGAAAGACACGGAGATATTGTAGTAACGAAATTTGCAGTAGTTACGTGCATATGACTAGAAACCTTATAAAATTTGATTAACCATTCAGATATAATTCCTTATCGATCTTCCTTTGGCCAATTTTTACTTTTATCGCTTTAAAAATAGAACGCATTACGTTGTTTGGGCAACACGTATGCGATGCTTTTGATTTAAATATATAGATAGACATCTTGAAATTTTTTTTATTTTTTTATCACTGGTCTTTCCACGGCGCTCCAACGTCAGACCACAGTCACCTCTTTTTCCCTTTTCTTTTTTAACACAAAGAAGCGCCCTTTAAACGTGGCTTTGGTTTTTTTCTAAGATAATTTTGGTTCCCTCAAATAAAAAAAAAACAAATGGATTTTATCTACTGACTCAAAACTCGAATTCAACGCTTTTTCTTAATTTTAAACCAAAATAAAATAAAATAAAAGGCTGCAAGCCGCGCCAGAGAATTATTTTATTTTATTTTTTTGGTCCGTAACCGCGCCAGAGAATTAGAAAAGCTCAAAAAAAGCAGGCCATTTATGACGCACCGTACTGTTCACGCCGACACGTCATGCACACTTGCTCAGGCAAACCGAGCGCACGGGCTCGCGCTGACGCCGCGACGCACCGGAGCCCCTCCCCCCCTTCCCAACCCCCCCGCGTCAACCCTCGTGTACAGTGGGAAGGACACGTGGCGGTGGAGCGGGGCAAAAGGCGACTGAATACGACTCCCAATTCATTCCTTCCCTCTACTACGGATGCGTGAGCCGTCCGACTCATATCCCCGCACACGTGTCGCCATCCCATATGCTCCCCCTCCCTTCTTCTTCTATCCATCTCCCTCCGTCCCCTCCGTCCCCTCCGTCCTTCTCTCTCTGTCTCTTCGAGCCTGTCTCTCTGCGTGCGCGAGTGTTATTGGTGAATGAGAGAGAGAAGAGAGAGGGATTCGCCGTTCCAGATCAATAAGTATCGGAGGGGTAATGGAGCAGCAGCCCGAGGAGGAGGAGCAGCAGCTCGAGCGGTTCGACTCGGAGAGCTCCGGCGTGCTGTCGACACTGACCATCGCCGAGGATCCCGTCAGCGCCAGCGGCAGCTCCGGCGACCTGTTCTCCTCGAGCGGCCTGGGGAGCAGCAGCGGGAGCGGCAGCAGCAGCAGCAGCAGCAGCAGCAGCAGCAGCAGCGGCGGGAGCTCCGGCGAGATCCCGGGGATCCTGTGCGCGGAGGCGGCGGCGGCGTCGGGGTCGGCGTCGTCGGCCCCGAGGAGGCCGCTGCTCTCGGCGGGGCCGGCTCGGTCGGGGGAGGGGCTGGCGGAGGCGATGGAGACGGAAGACGCCGCCGCCGTAGCGGCGGCGGCGGGGAGCGGGCGGCACAAGTGCGTGGGGCGGAACAACAGGGGGGTGGCGTGGGGGTTCACTTCGGTCATCGGGCGGCGGAAGGAGATGGAGGACACCGTCGCGGTGGTGCCGGGGTTCATGTCCCGCGCGTGCGGCCACGTGGGGGGCTGCTCGGCCCCCGGCTCGAGGGCCTCCGGCGAGATCTCGCCCGTCCATTTCTTCGGCGTGTACGACGGCCACGGCGGCTCCCAGGTAACCGCAACTCCGTGTGTTCCTTACAGCTTAATTACCATTAATCAACAACTAACACCGGCAATTTGGCCCCGAAACTAATCTAAACCGACGGATATCATACAATGCACGGCCATCCTCGTATTTCGGAAAAATCGGAATTAATATCATCATCTTCCTAATTTATTTCCATGCTACGCAGTATTATCCTCCTTCTATATTAATTTAAATTTCTTAGCCGAGTCCTAAGATCGGCGCACCTCGGAATATTTTATTTGGGGGAAACGGAAATTTTCTTTTAACGACATTTTAAATAACTTTATTTTTTTAAAAAAAAAAACACACATTTCTTGAGCAATAATGAATCGTGATGAAGCCAGGAGGGACGCGTGTCGCTCGCTGAGTGGCCCGTGCGTCGCGGCTTTTTCCTCCCACCTTCCTTTTTCCTGTGTCTGGGACACGCGTCCCCGCTTAAAGCTTAGGACAGGCTTTCTGTCTCTCTGTATATTTAAATCGTGAGGTGGGGGGAGGCATCGCAGCCGTCCACGTACCCCCGGGCCGTCTCCGAGCTGATGGGAACGTGGAGGACGAGGAGGCGTCATAAAAAGCACGAAAGAAATAATTAAAGAGAAAAATAGGAGAAGGGGCAATCGCATCGCATGATTATCTTAATCTTTCCTAATTTTTGGATCATCTAGTGATTCCCAAATTATAATTTTGAAGCGGAAGCAGGCTGCCCAAAATAAAAAATAAAGAAAATTATAATTTTTTAGTGCTGGTGTTTGCGCCACGTGTAAGCGGTGGGGAGACAGGTGGTCCCCTAGGCGCTTTTATGGCGGGCATAGTTTGTCGGGGGGTGTGTTCTCATGATCAGGTTTTTACCATGTGGTCGTACCTGGTTGGATCTTTTTTCGCGAGGTGGGGACCTCGGAAACGAGGCTAAAGGCGGATTCACTGCGTTAAAGTTCGCTTTTTTTGTGCCTTTTCTGCGGAGAAACCTTAAGGTTGTTCAAGTTCGGTAGAAACCACCGTTCCTGTAACTCGAGACGATTCCCAAACGAGGGATTTGCTTGCACTTAGTTTGGCACCTGGTGATAAGCATTTGTCCGTTCCATAAGAAATTTGTTCGGGGGGGCCCCGACGCGAGTACGACCCACGTGTACGCCGAGTTTTTAGGCAAGAATTTGGGCCCCCGTACCGTACCCGCCCTGCGAAGTCCCTCGCTTCAGCGACGTTGGTGTCCCTCGAGCACGGAACGTGCATTAATGCGTTGTCAGAATTTGTTACGTGGTAGCTTCTAAAACGAATAAATATGGTCAGGACATGAATGGTTCCGATGCTGTTATAGTTTATGTTTGCGTGTCAGCGGCAGGTGCCATGCCCAATAGAGACAGCTGTCGTGTATGACCAACAGCTATCACAGACTCACAGCATCGGAATATGGCTGGTACCGGTACATTTTATTCCAGAAGTGGCCTAACTATGTAGATGGAACTAGAATATTGGCTGGGAGGGGACAAAAAAAGAAGAAGTTGTCTGCAGTTAACAACAACTACTGCTGCGACTAGTGTAATACTAATACTGGGTAGAGACTAGAACTTGCTCAATGCTAGGGGGTGGGAGGCAGTTCACGATGCCTTCGGGTACCTGTGTACTTTGTGTATGGTTGGTCTGTGACAAATTGTATCCCAACAAAACGAGCAATAGGTTAACCCAACATGTCTACTGCTTTTTTCTGGTCTCACTCAGTGTGCTTATTCAATGCTTATGACAGCATAGTCAATGTGATTGGGTCTGCGTTTGTCGCGTTGAAGAAACTTTTGCTAAAGTCATGCACTTTGACATTTCATGTTTGTAATTTGTTAATTATATGTGCCCTGGTAGATATTGCAAGAGCGTGGGAAAACTATCTACTTCCTCTTTGTGGTTATGCAGGCACATGGCCGATAATATTATTATGGTAATTGGGGTCATGAGAATAATCCATGCTGGGTTTCGAATTGGATAATTGTCCGGTATTTGCTCTAGTTGACTGTCGTAGGTTAGTGATGTAATCTTTTCGCTGAAAGATGGTGCTAATATTTATATCAGTTTTCTTTGATTTTCATGGATCTTGTTTGGGCATTCAAGGCAAATGACATTTGAGAAAAATTGAAATTTTTTCTCCCTTTTGTATGGATAAGTAACGTGATTAAGCCAATTTAGTTTCTTCATTTACAGAGGATGTACTTGGAAATTCTCCTAGATCAATATGAAAATGACCTCCTTAACTTCTTAAACTCGTAAAGCTAAACTTAACAGAGGACATTTAGTTGCCTCCTCCTGGAAGAGATCCGGTTTTAAAATTACGTTTATAATATAACATAGTGAAATGTAGCATTGCAACAACTGCACATAATCCTGATCGCTATATGCTTTACAGTTATAATAATTTTTAGAGTATGTAGGTGGCCCAATTCTGTGCTGCGCGAATGCATGAAGTTATAGCCGAAGAATGGAACAGGGAAGCAATGGATGGGTTTGAGTGGCAGAGAAAGTGGGAAGCAGCTTTTTCTACTGGTTTCGAGAGGGCTGACAATGAAGTCATGACTGCGGCGGCTGCACCTGAAATGGTAGGATCAACTGCGGTTGTCGTGATTCTGTCCGGCTGTCAGATAATCGCTTCCAATTGTGGTGACTCAAGAGCAATTCTTTGCCGTGGGACTCAAACAATCCCCTTGACTGTTGATCAAAAGGTTATTCCTTGAAGCACTTAAAATTTTACAAAACCTCTTTATGATATTATTCCTGTCCAAATCTTTCCGCAAATTCACGACATATGATGTGATACTTTATAACGTGACCTTCGAAAATTCAACTATGCCGTGTTGAACTTGTATGTGCATTTAATGGGATTACAGTGAACATAGGTTACACATCAAACTATGGTGACTTTGTTGTGTACTAATTTCATTAGCGCCCATGGATCCAGAAAGGATGCCAGCCATTTGTGGGGTTATCCGAGTGATCCGGTCAATGTTCTTTGATGTTTCTTATGTCTATGCCGATATGACCATTCAAAAATTTATTGTTGTTTTTGCTGATTTTATACAGCCAGATAGACATGATGAACTGACGAGGATTGAAGAAACAGGAGGGAGAGTCATAAACTGGAATGGTGCTAGGGTGTTTGGAGTACTTGCTATGTCCAGAGCTATAGGTTACTCTCATCTCTACGCTTGCCATTCATCTGGTATCTTAATTGTTGAAAATCGTAACCATTCATCTTGAATAAGCTATCATCCCTCTAGTGTGCTTCTTCATCCTCCTTCGGTTATGACTGTAGAATAGCTCTGCGCAATTTTTAATGTTCTACTGGAAAGAATTCTTTTCATGTAAAGAAGTATCTCAGAGGAGGACTCGAGTACTGTGTCCATGTTATTTTTCCTTACATGCTTGGGAGTCCTCCCGTTTGATGATATAACAGATAGGTTTCTTATTGTTTCCTTTTCCTTTTAAAGCATGTCACTTTGCAGGTAACGTTTATCAACTAAATTATTCCACCTCTTACTCTTGAAGTCGGGAAATTTTATGGTCCTTTTGTCACGGATAGATTCTTAAGAAAACTTAAAACTGCCCAGGCTTACAATGACAAGACCAAGGTGATAGGTGCCGTGATCAAATTTACTCTTTTAGAAGTGATTATATGGAGCAGATAACAAGGATGACGACAGTGCAAATGGAGACCTTTTTTTCCATAGCTATTGTCTGGAAGTACGAACGGGGAACATCATGAAGAAATTTTACCATATTATGGTTTATCTAGTATAAGAAGTACAACTTTGACAAAAAGAAAGTATAACAACAGCAACTTCTCTAATCTGCATTTTTATCGGTGGATAAATTTCACCATCCTACTTGTGGGAACTTAGGACTAGATTCTCGAGAATGTGCTAAGAGAACTAAACGCTATACTTTCGAAGCCTTGACTATGGATATAATAAGTGCCTGACCTTTCTATCAGCTTGTGATATGGATGAAATTTCTTGTCATGTATATTTGAACCGATGATCTTTGGCGTTTGCTTACTTATTGTCCGATGAGTTTCAAGAGCAGCACCAGCTGGCATTGCCACCAAACCACATCGAAAAGTCCAAGCAGAAAACCAAATTTCTTAATTGTGGTCTAATGGGCTTGGATGAGTGTTTGCGGTCGAACTCTATTTGAATGATTCCTTATGGAGAATATCCCTGTGCTTTCTCCTTGTTTTATAATTTCTTCTATTGCATAACTCAATGTTGCTTCACGAAGCCTGAACCTTGCTCGACCAATTCCATTGGATGTGAACCAAAACTTCAGATTACATCATGCTGAACTAATCAAAATCGGTCATCGTCCTAGTTTCTGAGAAAGCCCATATATGTTTATCTTAGGAATTAGCAATGGAAAAGTAGCAGGAAATGACATGGCGATCATATTTGATTCTTTACCATGTATAGTAGTTTTAGACAGATTGAATAACCTTGCAGATGAGCATTGGTTCTGGTAGGTTGTCAATCAACGCCAAGGGGAGTATATTTCTCTGATCTCAACATGAAGTTGTTGTAACTTGAACAGAAACATGATCTTACTAGTGGGGGTTTTCTTCTTGACTCCTTTCTCCAAACCAAATAGGGAGAGATTTTCAGGTCTGTCATGTCTTATTGGATCAATTGTTGTGACAATCATAATGCTGATTTCTTAAAAGGAAGTCCTTCATGAGTAAACATGCTTTAATTTTCAGGACGGGGCACGAAAGTGCTTACAGTGAGTTGTTTTTTTTTCCTAGTAGACTTATCCGGACAAAGAGTTGTGCCATATTGAGATTACATAATGTACGAGCATATATTCTGGTTCTGAAAGTTTGAGCAGATTAGGTTTAACAATTGTTTGCAATACTTACGCATTGATCCATCTTACTGTTGGTAATTTCCATCTATCTTATATTTCAGGTGACCGGTATCTGAGGCCGTGGATTATTCCAGTGCCTGAAATCACTTTTACGACAAGAAGGGATGAGGATGAATGTTTGATTTTGGCGAGCGATGGGCTCTGGGATGTCATGACTAATGATGAGGTTGGAGAGGTGGCTCGGCGCCTACTAAGGAGGCGCCGTCGCCTCATGATGGTCGATGAAATCTCTCCAGCACAAGCTGTAGCTGATTATCTTACTGAGATAGCCAAAGGGAGGAACAGTTCTGATAATATATCAATTATTGTTGTTGATTTGAAAGCAAAGAGAAAGCGCCAGCAAAGGCCACATGAGGGTTGAAGATACGATCTTTCTCCCTTATTACTTTCATCCCATTACTTTCCAGTTCTAATATCCAGAGATAAGGAGACCAGGAATGATCTAAGTGATATTTTGCATTTCGCAATGACTAATGGAACGACTTTAGCTTGGATAGCTATCATCCCAACCTGTACAGAGCTGACTGGCAAAAAGTTATCACTTCCTGGAACCAGAATCGGTTGTCGCCATGTAACACTAGGTCAATCCTCAATTTTAGTTGGTTTGGTCAAAAGGAAAAAGATGAGGAAGCAAGCATTGTTCTATAGGAAGCAAGCACTGTTCTATGTAACGTCTTCAACGATTATCCTACAAATGAAAGCCAAATTGTTTTTCTTTGCATATCTTCATTTGGATTACTATCTATTCACAATCTTTGCCTGGTTCTTGGAGAACTGTGTTTGGATGGGAGCAACCTAGGGTCCCAAGCCATTATGTGCTCATCAGCATTTGAAAAACCCTAGAGTTATGAAATGTGTCTTCCTTTGTCTCACGTGCTTGAGGAACAAATTATATGATGTTCTGGCTTGTAAAATTCGTGTTAGATTTATCAAAGCTTCGAGTTAGTAAAATTACCACTGTGCTCTGAATATGCGTCATGTGTGGATTGTCGAATCTGGTTTATCCTGCCAATTGTGACGAACAGAGGAAGAGGTCTAAGGATGTACAGCTACAATCTTTTCTTTGGATAATAGCTAGTTAGGCAGAACTACTATTCCGTACACTAGATTTAGTTGGAGGATGAAATCACTTTACTGTGTGGAAGGAAAATACAGCAACTGTTTTGACAGGTATCGAGTATAGAAGGAAAAGGCAAAAACTGTTTTCACACATTGGGATCATTGAGAAACGACACGACGAATTTTTGTCTCTCCAATTTGTTGAAACTTTCTGCATGCCCTTCGTTGTCACACCACTATGCGGCATATCGAAGTAGTTATGGTAGCGACAATATCTAACCTTACTTGTGAATTATGTTGCATTTCCCATCATGCATTATAGGATTATGGAAACAAAACTAGAAACAACATTACTACCAGTGTTATGATTAGAAATGCAATCTATACGCCATCATTATCTTCCTAGAAATGATTGTGTTTTTTCCACATTTTTAAAAACGACTTCGTTTGACATCAGAATCACTCCAAAACCTGGATGAGTTGAACTTGACAGATAGAGTTTGAGAATCCTCTCACATTTACTTTCCGATCTAGAGAAAAATTTGCAGATATGGTGCAGGATCTGGCATTTACACATGCGAATCCAAATCCTTGAGGCGCAGTGCTCGAATGCAACAGCTTCAAAAGTTCGATGTGTACACAGCCAATCAGCGGCAGTCTATATCCGCGCGTGTTTATCACTGCCAATGAGTAAGTGACGCGAACGTCCATTCTGGGTAATAAAAATTTCAATGCCAAAGCATCCTAGCATTTCTCTCGCGCATAAATTTCCGAATCTGAGATTTCAAGGATCATTAAATGCGTGCTCATAGACTTGCTTACACCATTAGCCCAAGTTTTCAACTATAAATACGGCCTTTGGCTTGTCACTAGAACTCAAATCTACAAACTCTGCATTTGAACTATTCTCTGCTCTATCTGCTTAATCAAGAAATGGCGAACGGGGATTTGCGCCAACAGCTTGCCACCATGAGGCAATTGCTGCTGGATGAGGTACTCCCTGAACATCAATTCTCTATAAAGTGATGGTTTACTAGCCCTTCTCATTTGTTTTTTCCAGACAACAATTTGATTACTTGGTGCCCCTGTAAGACTTTTCATTCTCATTCAAGATGTGCCAACTCTCTCTCTCTCTCTCTCTCTCTCTCTCCCCATATGCAAACTTATGACTGGATTTTCTTCACTACATTTACCATCCCATAGCAGGGACTCATGAAAAACATCACTGCAGCGATGCCCTTTCCTTCAGTCTCATGGTTGCAATAAGACAAACCTTTTCCAAGTTGTTAATACTACTCGATGAATGCTGCACTTTTGCATCAGGAACTCCTGGACGAACAGTTTATTCAGCTGGAGGAACTCGAGGCCGAGGGCAATCCCAACTTTGTGGAAGAAGTTTTTAGCTTGTATTTCCGAGACTCTACTAAGACCCTGGAATCTGTCGGGCAAATGCTGTATGTGCTTCGCTCTTTAATCACCTCTCATTCATTTTTCCCCACGTGAACTTCTCCTTAATATTAACTTAAAATTCTAATGTATCCCGTGTGATCCATTCACTTAGGAAGAAGACACCTGTCGAATTTGACAAGGTGGACAGGGCTCTTCACATGCTGAAGGGTAACAGCGCCAGGTAATCTGATTAGTTTCTTTTCCCTAGAACTGTTCTAAAGAGATTCTGTGAAATATAGGAATTGCTCGATCGGACATTCCACAGCTATCACAGAATTTGTTGTGTTTAGGGTGAGGATGAATGTCATATCCGTTCTTGTGTATTGCAGTGTCGGTGCTAACAAAGTCGTGAATGAAGTGAATCAAATGAGGGGTCTTATCGAAGAGAACAGTTTCGAGAGGTGATGAAAAATATTTAATGTTACCTTTTAAATTTCTTGAAATTTAATCTCAATAATTAATTTTTCCTTGGCAAAAGATGGAAATTGTACTGCTCTAGTTGATGTTATATCTTCTTCTTTTTCCCCATTTTATCTGAGCAGTTGCAACGCCACTTATGAGCAGCTGAAGAAGGAGCACGACGAGCTGAAGGGAAAGATGGAAGCTTATCTCCAGGTCTCTCTCTCTCTCCCTCTCTCTCATTCAGAAACGCATGCATACCGAACCGCTCTTTTCCCAGTTTTTAACTTCGCACACACTGACGGGTCGATATCCATGATGTTTCAGCTGCTGAAGCAAGTGGAAGCTGCCGAGAAGCCTCGACAGGGCAACGATCAGGGCTCGGCGAGCGACACCGAGAGCTCCTGAAGGCAAATGGTGTCCTGTGGCAGATCAGTAGAACTAAGGGGAATAAAAGAGGTCCGGTCGCGGGGCTTCCATGAGTGAAAGTTGGTGTCTGTTGTTTCTGTTAATGTTGTCAACTGGGCCTGTCTTTTTGGCAGGACAGTCTCGTTTTTCCTTTGCGTCCTCGTGCGTAGGAGACCCTCTTGAGGGTTTCTTCTTGTTGTGAGTCTTTTGCTATGCAACGAGGAGCTTCCTCTGATGTTTTAGGTTGTCCCCATCCTGTTGTCTCCTTCGGTCTTTGTCTGGTCTGCCATCAAATCTACAAATCATTGCTTGGTTTCTAATCATCATTTTAGGGTTGATCGACATGAACTTGAAATCAAGATGATAGCTCCGTCGCGACAGTTGAATTTCTCGCTTAAATGAAGGAAGTATTTTTTTTTTTTGGTAAGTGTTGAAGGAAGTATTTTAGTATGTAAATATTAAAAAAAATAATTGGACGTTATAAAGTTAATGTTTATATATAAAAGTTTTTCTTTATATATCTCGCGTGTTTCGTGTTAAATGAAAATGTCGAGAGTCAAATTAAAGACGCACATAACTACTGTAAATAAAATATGTGCGAATGTAGCATGTTGTTCTCTGGTCTTGAATACGAATCCTTTTTTTTTTTGGAATTTTTTTTTGTTAAATGGATCGCTTGATCTACAGAATCGATTTACTGTGCAAGTTACGAGACTCCAAACAATTCAATCTACGAGTAATTTGAATCGAGTTTATCAGGCTCATATGGCTTCGATCCAAATCACTAACACCATCCCCAGGTTTTTACTCTATGTCCGTAAGCTAGAGTTTAAATTTCTTCTCAAATGGCTTGGCTGGTCTTGAATGTAAACCCAACCGGTAAATCAGTTACCAACACGAGTTTAACCACGTGTCCGAACCCGACCCATATGAATTGTTGTTGTCCATCACAGCCGTCGATGACGATCAATATCGGATTCACACGATCTAACGCTCAGGATACCCCGAAGTCTTTACTCAATATTTTTTGGGTTAATACCATGAAAAATACCAAACTGATACACCTGTATAAATTTACTCCAAACTAATTTTTCGAACACCAAAAATCCCAAACTGGTACATCTGTCAACTGCCATGCACCATCAAACTCAGCAATTTGACTGCAAAATTTAACAGAAATTATTTGATGGTAAAATTTAGCAGAAACTAACTAAAAAGCAGATTTTTTTTGCTTCATATCTTCTACATCCTTCTATATGGATTTTGTACCTTAAAGCTCATGAGAATCTATGTACCTTCTGGACTTGATATACTAAATGATGTAAGCCCGTGTTGACGTTGGATATGATTCACTCGTCTAAAAATCTAAAAACATTTTGTCCCATCAATCTCAATTTTATGGAGCAGCCTATACCTAACCATACTCTATTTTCAATAGTCATACATTGGACGCACGCCTCATAATGGGAGAAAAATAAAACATATTATCTTCGATTACAAATTAACGAAGGTTACAGAAAAATACCAAGTCGCTTGTTCTATCCCAAATTTTGCAAATTGGGATCGAAACAACATTTAATTATCTGTCAAGTACAATATGTTGAATCATGTAATCAATATGGTTTCTTCTTTTGTATGATTCAATCACAGTCACCTCACTTTTTTTGGCGGCAGATGCCAGACATTTGATTGATTAATGTGATTTAGTGCAATTTACGAAGGCAGCGTCACCTTGTTGATAAAATAAAGGAAACACGTTTAGATTTGAAAAACTTCACAATAGCGCCTTTGTCTCTTGGGGAGGTATCCTGAGAGAACAAGAATGAGATGCTCGAGCACATTACACAAACAGCAAACACCTAAAAGCAGATAATGTGATGTCTGAAAGTACATTCTGACCAGTTGATCTCACAACCGCATGCCACAAGCGGTCATTGTTTGAGATCCCCGACATAAAAGTCTTCAATCATGTCGAAAACTCGGGTCGCATGCTGTGGCCTGTAAGATCATAAGGTTTCAGAAATTTAAACAGTTGCGGATATCTAAACAGGAGGAGAAGAAGAGGAAGTAAATTAATCTCGACCATCAGCATCTCAACAGCAATATCAAATAACGACCATACATTGGGTAAACACGGGTATAATTCCTGGGCCATATTTGCCCTTTTGCTTTATTGGAGAGAAAAGGCTATTATGATTTTCCAGGACTTGAATTCAATTTTGAACTCCTTTCCTTAGAATAAAAACAAAGCTGCGAAATATTAATCTAGTAGTATAACACTATATCCCATCCGTATATTCAGAAATCATGAATTGATTGAATGTGTCAAAGCATATTATCTCTACATAGGACTACTATGGTTTTGCATCTGATTTATGTAGTTATAACTGAGTTCATCTTGGATACTACAACCCTTAGCACTGCTTTGTTAGGTTGATATCAACCAATGATTGAAATAATCGGTTGTCAGAAAGTAATCCAATTAGATCGACATACTACTAGTAATAGGAGATTTGATTAGGATTAAGGAGAAGGTCTGACATCTTTCCCCCACCAATTAGCAGTAAGAACAATGCATGCCATTCCAGAGCATAGATGCGTACCCAAAAAATCCTTCCGTTGAATTACCCCCTGCATTAGTCAAGATGGCATCACCACCTGGGTGTTCCTCCACGTAAGAGGTAACATCATACACCTACAAAGAGAAGACATTAGAAAGGCGGGACAAAGAAAAGACCTTGTAATGATGTCCAGAGCCCAACAAAAGCAACGTAAATTGGTACGAATTTCATGAACATAGTGGCTGTTGCCAGATTCAGTTAAGCAAAAAGTCAACAGAAAGAAGAAAACGAACTCAGACCTTGTCTTTAATGATTATCCAACAATCAGTTCGTTTGTTGTGCAAAGCAACATCAGCTTTGGTGTAAGTTTTGGACCCCTAGCGTCAAAAGAAAAAATATCCATTATTAACAAGGCAACACCAAAATATACTTAAGTATAAACAGAACAACAAGAAGTAGAGGAATAAAACCAGTACACTAAGAAGAAGAAGTAAAAAATCTACAGATTAACATCTAGACCGCACTAAATCAAAGGTTTATACCGAGTAACAGGTGTATAATGCAAGACAACTGCTACCCAATTTTACTTGGAGACAGCTTGAAGCTAAAAGTACTCACTGTGCAACCGGAATGAACAGGAAACACACCATAGTTCCGTAGACACAACTCCTACCAGGACCAATCCATTTCAACCTAATAAGGAGAAATATCAATGAACTTTCCCGGTCTTTCACCTTTCGTTGCAAATGTGTTGGAGAAATCCGGACCACATACTACCTCAGCCTCAAACTGAATTCTTTGGAGCAATAGACAAAGTACGACAATTTTCATACGAACAGATGCTTCGTACACCTTATCAACGTGTCCTGTTTGGTTTATCAGTAATTAGAGTTATCTTCTCGTGCTCGACACCATGCTTAACTGTAATACAAGGCGCATACCCACTGTATCAGTGTACTGATGCTCGAATATATACCTACATATACATAAGTAATGACTCCACGTATCTGTGCATCTATACATACGGATCAATGCTTCACTAGATGCACATAATGTCAAAAGGGCTAGAGGAGGCATGAGGATATAGCTTGCAATTGACTCCACAAGCAGAAGTGATCTTATTTCAAGTATGGAGCTCCAACTCCAAGCACAACTGCTTGCCCCTATATCATTGATTTAAATTTCACCGCCACAGCCAAACCATAAAACTAACACTACTTACTCCCTAACCAAACTCAAGCACAGAATCTTGTAGAACTATCGCCCTCCATCACGTCACTAAAATGGAAGTTTCACTCGCCAAAATGTGAAAAAGAAGAAAGGATCTCCCGAACATATCTAGGAAACGACATTCACCTTTTTTCTTCTCCAATCAAATTTCAGACTTCACGAAACAGGACAGGACACGCGCGCACGTGCACTTGCGCGTGCACACCCAGAGATGTATGGATGCCATTTATGGGTGGTTTTTGCATGTGGGTGTACACATAAAAGAAGAATCAGTCAACCAAAAACCAACCTCCCCCTGTAAAAGATTGAGCATTGCATTGCAATCTTTTACCAGAGATACCACGATAAAATACTGACTGCATTAGAATTGCTAATTGCATTACATGAACCCATCAGCCTCAGAAATCTGACAGTTACCTGAGTGCTGGAATTGGACTGAACCTTCTCCACATGGCCTGCACAAGGAGAGGCAAAGAAAGGGTAATCAGCGTACATGTTTCCTATGACTTGGATCTTCACTTGTCAATGTTGTATGCAGAAAAAAAGCCTACCGGACTTGCGCTTCCGTGGGAGCAACAGAAGAGCGCCCAAAATCCCCAGCAAAACTACCGCTGCAATGATCACCATCGCTTCGAACTTGACCTATCATCGAAATACGAATCGACATTCACCATCGCCATTGTCATGGACTCGAACGACCGTTTGAGCAGAGCGTCTACTTGTGAATATGCCGAATTCGAAAAAAAGAGGCAAGAAAGCGAGGGAAAAGAGAGCGGCGGTTCTCACGGGTTCTCGAGGAGTTACAGAGTGGAGGAGGAGGCGGCGGATGTCGCCGTGAGCAGCTGCTCCGGTTTCGCGACCGGCGGCGGCGGCGGCGGCGGCGGCGGCGGCGGCGGAGATTTGGGTGCAATGCCGACGGCGAGAGACGCTGAGTTAGAGAGAGAGAGAGAGAGAGAGAGAATCTGGCATGTGATTCCACTCTTTCACTGACACAGTCCTCTTCGTATCGACACACGGGTCGGGTCGTCAGGTCAAACCGCAGCTCCGTTTGCTGATCAGTGGGCGGGTACGGACTAGTCGGCACGACATCGACCACTTTCCCACGGAAGATACCACTCTTAATTTAAAAAAAAATGGGTTAATACTTCCGAAAAACACCAAACCGATAAATTTATCCAAAATTAATTTTTTGATCATAAAAATTCTAAATTGACACATCTGCGAAAATTTTATTAAATTTTACCGTCAAATTTCTGAGTTGGAGTGTATCAATTTGAGGTTTTACTCTTCGTCTGTCATAATTGTACCATTTTGTGATTTTTCGTGATATAAATTCAATTTAATGGAGGGTAAATTTATCACAAATATACTGGTTTGAGGTTTTTGGTGATCGAAAAATTAGTTTAGGGTAAATCTATCATAGGTGTACCAGTTTGGGGTTTTTTATTGTTAAAAAATTAGTTTGGGATAAATTCGTCACAAATATACTAGTTTGAGATTTTTTTGGTGTCGAATATCTAAATTCGTCCCTATCAACGATGCAAGAAAGTAATGGAAATTCGCACAACACAAGAATTTACGTGGTTGATGTTCCGCCTACCTACGTCCACGGGGAGAAGATCCGTTTCACTAATAACGCAGAAAAGTGTACAGCCACTCTTTCTCACACCATTGCCTCTATTCTAGAGATCTGTTTCGCCATAAATATATATAGCAAAACCCTACATGGCACAAATTACAAAATTGCCCACATAGCCTAAAATATTTAGCTTTCCCATATAATCATTCTATGACTAAACATAAAACGCCTTTGGCGGCCCGGCGACGCTGCCCGCGACCCCTGCCGGGAGCCCTGACCCCCGGCTGCTCCAACATCGAGGGCTTTTCTGAATCGCTCTCATAATCTCTTTGATAATGTAATACAAGACATCAACCTCAACATTGGGATATTAACCCCACAAAATAATGAGGTCCAACACATACACGTAAAATTTTTACGTACAGTGGGCAAATAAAAAGGTTGAATGGGGTCAATTGACCTGGGGCATTAATTTGCAGTCAACATCAGATGAATCGAGATAGAAACACTAGAAATGTCGTGATTTTAGTGTTGTGCTCGTTTCAGTGCTAAAATATTTCGAGTGATTACTTGAATGTCACTTTAAAAACAATCATTTCGTCGATTTGTGTGGCTGAAAAATTCGACGTGGTTACATTTTAATATAAACAATTCCATATAACTCGCCAGCAGAATGAAGTCACCATTACTAAACCTAAACAATGTCGTTTGGCCATCTATTTGCCTCAAATTAACGAATGGAGGCAAAATCAAATATGAATTCTAACTCTAATTCCTCAAATTGGGGCTATTTACCTTCTGAATTTTTTGGGCAATTGACAAATGAAGAGTGGATACAATCGTTTTGCTCTTGAATTCTTCTGTTTTTCTTTAATTTTTTGTTTGTTCTTTCTAGGAAAACGAATTTCAATGTTTTAACCGGGTTTCTTGAAAGATGAATTTCGTTGTGGACCATCTCCGATCCCGAAACCTCAGTGACCATAGAGATAATCCACCGGGCTCCCCAGAGCTCCATCATTGTCAGTTGCAGATTCACAAAATATGCGTCACACTTTGAGAGAGGGAATTTAATATCACTTCTTTTGCCTTTTCAATTTTGTTTTAGTGTTGATGGTCGCAACAGGACTAGATGGTGGATATGAAATTGATGGGAGAAGAAAAAGAAGCAGCTGATTATTAAGATGAACGAAGATGAAGACATAAATGAAGAAGAACCAGGGGCATGAACAAGGCTTTAACCGAGGGATTTGTCCACATTGGACAAAAAAATTTAATGAAAAAAGACACGCAGGACAAATCGTTGGAATTTATAACCAGAGGCACTTAAGTGATCATTTGATGGGAGCTCGAAAAATTTCGTTACTGAAGTGAAGGTCATACGAAAGTTATGACATTTCCAATGTCTTTTTCTCGTGAATCCGTCAAATGCATACCTAAAAATTAAAAAGGATCAACAACAAGCAATGTGATTCACAAACAATACAATGTATCCAGTCACAACCCACCCCCTTCTAACCCCCAAAAAAAAATCAGACAGGCTTTTCTAATTCAGAAGATGAAAAAACTTGGAGATCTACAACACTTTGACCCACTGAGCTATCACTGGACTAAACACATAAATTACACAACAAAATGAACGACCTTACAGGATCAGCCGGAAAGCAGAAAGGGCTGAAACTAAAGAATAAATCGGCCATGGTGGGAAACGATTGAAAAGAAAAAATAAATTTGAATGACATTCTTAGATTTGCTAAAATCAAACAATGATAAATTTAATAGGCCGAGCAATTTCGAGAGGATCAAAGATTCCACCGGTGGCGTCACCCGAAGCCCTTAATTCTTACCGCATATGATCCAAAAATTGGAGGAACAAACGCGAATTCCTTTTTTTCCCTTTTTCTTTTTCTGCTAGATATCATACTTCTTGGGCTGACGCCATTGCGCCAAACTTCTTGCGAGCGAGCTGATAAATATGTTTTTAGGCGGTGATCCTTTTCTGCCATACAAGTTCTTTCCTCCCAAATCTGTGAATTTCGGGCCAAGATCCTTACTCCTGTCGATCTGCAATTGCCACAGACGTACTAATGTGTGTGAGCTGCATGAAGAAGCTTGAGTGCCTTCGAAGCCGTCACACTCAAAATGGGGAAACTCAAGATTTTCATGTCGATATACCTTGCTGATCTTTCCATCTTTCAAGTGGTAACGGATGCCAGACCAGTTGATAGATTGAGAGAAATGAGAACGAACCGCACTGATAGTGTACAAGAAGTTATCTACTAGCATCGCTATAAATACCTGTTAAATCCAGTCATATGGAATGGCATTAGCATATATTAGCCATCATTCCCTCCAAATCTACGTACAAAATATGTAAAGACCTTCTCGACAATATTAAGAGACAAATATTCATTTGTCTTTCTAGAGTGCAAGTATGCTTGCACCATATTTATTTTACCCAGCTCTCATGAAATCACCAAAATCCCTCAAACTATTAGACCACACATGGCCATCTCACCAAGTAAGGGAAGACAGTGATACTCACAAGGACCCAGTTATACGAAGCAAGGGAAAGTTGAGGTGCCTCGGGGGATAGCATGTTGCAGAGCTCAACTTCGATTCTCGTCAAGTTCCACATTGAAAGGAGTTCGGTAGCAGTGCACATAACCAAGCAAGCCACCATTAATAAACCTGAATCAAGGCAAGTTGTAAAGCTATAAGAATAACTTCTTTTACTGCCCGAGTAGGAAGCAAGGTACATCCAATCCCAAAAGGAAAATTTTCAAGTTGGTAGGTGGGACATTCTAAGCACTCAAGAAAATATATCATATCAAGCAATTGCAATAAGAAAGCGTTCAAAGAATGTTGCAGACAAAAATCCTAAACTCTCAATTCAGAAATTTCAACTGAACCACCGTAAACGCCAAAAACAAACAGGAAAAAATCAAATTGTTTTTCATGAGTCATCAGTTTTTCACCCTGAGACGGAATCTCCCCCCTCCCTCCTGAGAGAGAGAGAGATCTGAATGTAGATCTCCAGTCAGCATATCCATTCTGGCCTTATCCAGTACGAAAAAAGATCAGGTCAACCAACATGTCATTTTTCCAACCAGTGAAAAATCACCTCATTTTTGTAGAGAAAAAAAGCAAAGGGGAGGCTCTCTTTTCCATCCCTTTTCCAGCCCACAAAAGATCTAACGTAAATATGTCAAACAACCTTGTGACCTGATCACCAACAAAAAGCGCCCATGGACGCCTTTCTTTTTAACTTAGTTATGTTAAGAGACATTAAACAACACATATACAGGATACAAATAGGTATTATCTGGGCAAATTCCCCACATGTCGAACACTATACATGACAGGATATTTCTAAATCCTGTCTGATAACCAAGATTGCTTGTTCAATCTAACAGTCTAATTGGGTGACCAGACACAGATTTACATTTCCTTTATTATTACTCAAGTTTCAGAACTTCAACCCATTTGCAATTTTTCAGTCAGTTACCAAAACTAATATCATCCATCAAGTAATTTGTATTGATTGTACCTGAACTAACACCAACAATCTACCTAAATAAGGGAAAAATGTGCTCACCAACATGAGTTAAGTTAGTTTCCTCAAATGAGTAACCTTTGATGTTAGCTCGTAGTGCTGCTGTTACATGAACTGAGGCCATAACATATGGTGCGACAAATCCCCAAGATAGATAGCAGTGAGAAGTAAATAATGCGCGATTCATTATCCAATTGACTTGTGTCGTGTATGATTCCAGAACAAAAGTCTGCTTCCTTAAGTAATTCCAGTACCTAAATAATATCAGAGTCAAGATGTGAGAACGATGCAGACATATTTAAATGGGCAGGCCAAGGAAAAAAAGGGTGGCTGAGGAGAGAGCCATTCAAACCTAGAAAAACTAAGATCACTGGCCAATGGATGAGGAAAAACAGCAACAGGAGGAGATGAAATAAGCCTCTTATGAGCCCCTGGAAAGGATCAAACAAGAAATGCAATCAAAAGCTAACAATATGATCAGATTAGCAAAGAGGGCTGAAGGAAGAAAAGGAAAATGGAAATATGACTCATGATAAAAGATTTTACAGGCAAATGAAGCAGACGACAACCAAAGAGCATCGAAAACATACGAATATATAACACATCAACTGCTACATGCCACAAGCTGACATTGGAGGATGCTATCGATCATGAAATATCTTACCAAGCAACAGCATTTCAATGGGTAAGAAAAAAAAGATTAAATCTATGCCTACTCCACCACTTGCAAATTTATGCAAAGTACAAGTCGAGAGCAATTTGATATGAGGACAACAATACAAAATGACATGCACAAATTGGAATGAGTTTTATTGTTTAATTTGTACTTTAAATTAGCCTAGTTAATCAGATTTTTAAGGAAAGCATTACCAGCAATAGCTGCGAGTGTCATATCGTCAGAGTATCCACCATCTCGAAGCCCTGAAACGACTCCATGTCGGTCATATCTGAAGTCATCAGCATGCATCTGAAAGACAAATGTAAATGAATAAGAAAGGACGAGTTGCAAAAGACAAAACTCTTGTAGAAACTGGGAATGGATCCTTACCATCATACACCCTCCCCACAAAAAGAAGGTTTTTCCACCAGTAGCAAAGCCCATCGAGCAAGGCTGCATATCAAAAAAGTTCCACAATATTGAGAAGATGGACAATAACGTAAAAACTCAAGCTAAGAAATCTATAATCAAAAGTATCACAAAAACAGGAGGCTTCACAATTGAGAGGTAAAAGAGAATACTTGCTTAACAACTGATAAACAATACATTTGTTTAAAGTCCCCAATGATTAGCGCCTTCTAAATTTCTCCATAGAAATCTATGCATCAAAAAGAGGTATTGACAAGACATGGGACATATTGCTGTTGGTAAAAGAAACCAATCACTCACTTCACTGCTCTCAGCAATGTGGAATGAGCAAAATCACTCCTCCAAATCTATAATATAGCAAAATCACTGCTTTAGGCTTTTCAATCTGCATTCAGTCAGGCTGACACCACCTTGTGGCCCTTTTGTGCATGAGTTGGCTACACCTTTGCTTATTATCTAAGCAACATGAGAAAGAAAGAAGAGGGTGCGTGTGTGGGTGGGGGGAGGTGGGTGTGTGAAAAGGAAAAAACGAAAGACAAAAAGAACTCCCTCAATAAAAAGGAAGCTACAAAGATTTCAAATATATCATACTTGGATAATATCGATTTTTGAGATTTTTCTTGCTAAGTGCACAATATCTGTTGCCCAAGGCTACAATCAGTCAGTTAATCAAGAATACCAACATAGAACATTTAGCAGACCAGATGTAGCAAAATGATTTTATCAGATCCAATGATTGAAGCCACATTTAAGTTAAATTGACTACCATTGGAAGCCGAAATAAAATAGCTCTAAACAACCTTTTTCCCAAAAGTTTTACGTAAAGATGTGCCTACAAACAGGCATTTATACAAACATCCTCCCTTGTCTGCAAGCCGGACTTTACAAGTCAATGGTAGTATGCGGACATAACCACAATCAAACAACCTGAGGGCAAACTGAAGTAGGAAACAAAACAATACAAGAGAAAGTGCCAAGATCTGAACAACCAAAGCTCTGATACCATGTTAGATTACGGCCTTTCCAAAAGCTCAAACTACACAGAATGTGGTGACATAGAATAATTAGATCCGTGAGAAAGTAGTTTGTCAGTGATGTCTTTATTCCGCTCTTCTACATTACCCAGTCTAGGAAGGAATTGAGTGGCGTACCATATGATACTCATAAATGCAGTAACTCCCCAGACTTCCAGATGGCAAATCAAGTGGATATCCAGTTTGAATAAATATCTGCACATAACCTCCGGAGTTAAAAAATAAAGCGAGATTATTTATCACAACTCAAACATGATTATAAGGACCAAGGAAAAAACATGCTGCAGATAAAAATAAACTAACAAAAACCATGTCCGGTATTTGTCACAATCAAATAAAAAGAAGCAAGTAAAACAAGTACAGTCATACCTCAGGTCTCTTTTCCATCTCAGCAGTGAGTGCTCCAATGGATCCAGGATGCAGCCTAACATCATCATCCAGAAACAAAACATATTTGGTGTCTTTGTGCATTTTTTCAACTCCTACCTGCATTATGGAGACACAATAGTGCAAAATAGCTGAGCCAATAAATCTGATGAAAAGGAGAATATTAGCAGGAGGACACGATGACTCCTCACTTTGTTTCTCTGTTTACTTGCTTAGTATATACTTAGACAAGCCAACCCCTTCCCTCCCTCCCTATTGTTTGATCTGTAGCTATAAGTCAACTCGACAAAGAACCTTAAAAAAAAAAAAAGAAACATCCTTTGCAGGATATCAGCATCGTTCATCTTCCTCCCCTTTTATTTTTTAAGGTTTACTATGTGAATATCATGCTTGAAGGGCAACCAGATGATGATTTAATCTTCTATGCAAGAAAGTAACTCTTATTAATGAATTATCAGGGATAACAGCAAAGCATAGAATCCAGATGTGTCGAGGAGTTACAGCTCTCCTATGATTTCTACATGTGTCAAGGAGTTACAGCTCTCCTATGATTTCTAAACATGTTCACGTAAAATCTCACTGTAAACTATGCCATAGATATGCAGCAGCAGCTTTAGATAGCAAAATAATCTATTTTTTAGTACACACTATCTAATTTGCTGAGAAATATACTTACACGCAGCAGCAGCAGCAGCAGCAGCAGCAAGCAACAACAAGCTTTATCCCACTAGGTGGGGTCGAGAAATATATTTACTTAAGTGAAAAAAAATTTCAAAAGAAACAAAAGTTCCTCTCCATCACGAAGACCAAATACATGACGAGGAATATAAGGCATAAATAGGCATAAATAGACAAACAGCAGTCACCTACCAACTGGTTGTGGATCTTCTGACTACAAGTTGTTGACAGACCGGCCACGATAATCTTAGCCTCAACATCATCCTGTGCATAGATTGCACGAATATAAATTAAATGTGGGCCATTATGCAAAACAAACGAAGACAAAAAAATATGCAGCTGAAGATGGAATGTTTTTCAGAATGGTGTGACGCTCTTTCTGCATCAGTATTTCCCACAGTAGTCAAAAAAGAAAGGGAAAAGAAAGCGCGTCTGAGAACAATTAGAGCAATAACTGCTCATGATAGCCCATTTTTAGGTGCATAAGAACTACAAAGCTATTTGCTGGCTCGAAACAGGAGAAACATGTCGTTGCATATGTACCTTATATTCTGATATCAACAAAGATGCAGCATGATAAGCAGGATCTTCTGTGCTTTCCACCAGAAAAAGAAATTCTAGAGGACCTCCATAGAGAGATGTGATCTGCCCAATACAAAGATTCGATCTTAGGCTAGCCTAGAGATGAAAGCAAACAGTTCCAAGAAGATAGGTGGAATACCAATCTAATGCAGTGACTTCAATTGCATATAGACCCAACAGTAATAAACAACTCAGAAATCCTTTTACAGAATAAAATGCTATATTCTCACTACTCTCGCCTAAAAGATCTGGAAGAACCTAACCTGACTTCTCCAATTGTGCAGATTGTGCTCACCGAAACCCTTCAACGGCATCACAACAGACACTCTGGGCAGATTGACCTGCTTGGAGTGCTCCAGGTCATTAATATCAAGAGAAAGAAATGCAAAACTATTGCCACGTCTGCTACTGTCTTTCATCCGCTTGATCTCTCTATTCCTGAATAAGAAGAGGACGGTCGGAAAGGTCAAGAATATGTGAACAGTAAAAATGCAACACCAAGATGAAGCCAGTCACTAGCCTCCAATGAGAAATCTTGGTACCTGACATATGCAGCACAAGCCCACCCAAGAGCTAGAACTAGGCATATAAAACATCCCTGCAAAAAAAAAAAAAAGAACGGCTTGATGTCATCAAAGGTAACAGATAAATAGCCCAGTCTAAAAAAGCAAACACGCTTTTTCTTTTGTTGATGAGCAGGATCAAGGACAGGTGGGACATGGCCAGGTAAAGGTTCAAGCATATTAAGCACGACGATGATATCTACAGAACGACTCTTCTCTGAAAAAGAATCGCATGCAATCCAACATGAACGGTAATGTCCTCGAATCTGTGCTTACGAAGGGCTTTGGATCAAGTTCTCAATTAGTTACGAGCCCAACCGTCGCGCACATATTTAAAAAATTTAATTTCGAAAGCAGTACCGAACAAGCACACGCCCGAATTTCTTAAACTAAATTCGCATCAAACACGCCGGATTGAGCTCGAGCTCAAATCGCCACAATTTCCTAACAAAAGCGAGAGCTCCACGACTGGACTCCACGCTCCTAGAGCTCAGAAAACGAAAGCAAAAACCCTCAATCCCGTCCATTCGGCCACCCCTAAAATTCCAACATCGCGCTCTCTCTTCCGTCGAAACCGACGGTCAGCTACGCGAGTCAGATCCGAGCCCCGAAGCGACCGGGGAAAACGACAAGCGCACCTGGATCTGGACGAAGACGGCGAGAGGACTGCAGAACGCCCGGCTGAGCGAGAACAGGAGCGAATCCAGCGAGTCGAATGCCGCCATTACGCCTCCCGTCGCTCGCCCTCCCTCCTCCTCCCCCACGCTCGCGCTTTCGATTCGGCGACTGCAGGAGAGAGAGAGAGAGAGAGAGAGAGAGAGAGAGAACCAGAAGGAAAGCCTTAGGAACGAACGAACGAACGGCTCCGACTCCCCCGCTCTCCTCGGCAGCAGCCCGATCGGGGGTCTCAGATCGCCATGGGAGCACGGCGAAGGAGGAGGAGCAGCGAGGACGCAGGTAGAGAGAGAGAGAGAGAGGGGGGGGGAGGAGAGAGAAAGGGGGTAAGAGTGAGAGACCGCGTAATTTTATAAGTTTGAAGATGGCGGAGGCGGAGGCGGAGGAGGAGGCTCTCTCAATCGCTCGCGTTGACCGCGCACCGCGATGAGATGGAAAGAGAGAGAGACAGAGAGACAGAGGGAGACCGTTAGATGAGGGGGATATATATAGGAGCAGGGCATTTTCTGGGGGGGGGAGTGGGAGGGACCAGGATGACGTGTCGGTCGGTGATTGGGCGGCATGCCCGCGGGAGCGCACGTGCGAGCTGGAAGATGCCGCTTTATGATCCGAATCTTCCCTTCCCGTTTCTTTGATTGATCGTCCGTCCTCGTACGCAAGAGCTTTCTTCTTGTACTCCTCCTCCTCCTTTCTCTCCTCTCCTGCAAAAATTAAGCAAGCCATGGAAATAAAATAGCAAATATTTTAAAACGCCAGTCAAAATTGATTATTGGCGTGCCCGAATTGGCTATTTTTTATTATTATTTAGGCTCCGTTTGTTACGCAAAAAATAAAGAGAAAATTTTAAAATAAGAGCCTAAAGTGGACCTTGTGTTAAGTGAGGGCTTGAAGTGACTATGTCGGTCTTAAATAATAGCCTGAAGTGGCCATGACAGTTTCAAATAAGGGTCTCATCTCGCCCAAACAAGGCCTGAGGCCAGCAAAGGCGACCCTCGCCTGACCCTCTCCGAACATCGCTGATGGCTGGCCATCCCTTGAGATAGACCACTAGTGAAAAAGAAAGAAAAAACCATAAAAAAAAAGGAAAAAAGGAAAAAAGAAAGAAAAGGAAAAGAATTTCAAAAAAAAGGTAAAGGACGAAAATGCCCTTGATCAATCGGAAAATCAGACCCTTATTTGAAACTGACATAACTTCCTTATGCCTTTATTTGAAATAAAATCCATTTCAGACCCTTATTTGAGAAAATGATGGCACTTTAGGCCATTATTTGAAATAAGTCCACTTTAGGCCCTCATTTAAGAAAATGATGGCAATTCATGCCATGTTTTGGAATTTTCCCAAAAATAAATTATTTGGAGAACATTTATCAAAATATAAGTATTTGTATCACTTGAAATAATTAGTCAACGAAAAATGTTTTCATTGTCGACGGCAATATCTATTTAAATATTTTCGTGGACGACGAAGATATTTTTTGCACATTTATTTTTGTAAGCACTATATGCAATCACTTTTTACGAAGATGTTTCCAAATCACACATTTTCTGTGAAATAAACGTATCCCATTTAAGTTTTTGCGATACACGTGCTTGATTTTTTTTTTTAACCTGAAGTACTTCAAACTTACCATAATATGTAAAATATTTATACAAGAAGTCACATATAATTTCTGTAAAAAAATTTCATAATTTTGGTGACTATTTACTTTTGTTGAAGTTAAACGAACATGCCATATGCCTTTATGATAATAGTAGAACACGGAGTTGTTTGTCTGATTAATCTCGTGAATATACATAAATCTCTTCGCTCAAGAACATCGAGCAAGATTTAATCCAATAAATCGACAAGCGTAACCCTCAATATTACTTCAAGTGAGACAGATCGCGATTTGAACACGTAATCAACACCTCACTCGATCAATATGGAGTTCATAAGACGACGGGTAAAAGAATAAATTCGATGATAGTGTCGTGTCCATATACATTATACGAGCACCGGTACAAGTACAACTCCCGCATAACCCTTTCTATTGCAAAAAAGGGTGAGGAGGAGCAACTTAATTATAGGGGAATTAGATATGTTATATGTTAAAACATCGCATAACATTATATTTTACAAAAAAAAAAGAGAGGATGATGTCTAGAGCATGCTTCTTTTATGAAAGCTACATCGGGTATTTTCTACTCTCTTGGTTATAGGGATAATGACACAAATAGTCCATGAACTTTGATTTAATGTGCAATTTGGTCCCCAAACTTTTAATTTGTTCAATGTAGTCCCTGAACTTTAACATAATGTTCAATTTGGTCCCTGAACTTTTAATTTGTTCAATGTGATCCCTGAACTTTTAATATGTGTTCAATTTAGTCCCTGAACTATATGAAAATGTTCAATATAGTCCCTGCACTTGAATTAATGGAAGGACTATATTGAACATTTTCAAATAGTTCAAGGACTAAATTGAACACATATTAAAATTTCAGGGATCACATTGAACAAATCAAAAGTTCAGGGATTAAATTGAACACTAGGTTAAAGTTCAGGGACTACATTGAACAAATTAAAAGTTCATGGACCAAATTGCACATTGGGTTAAAGTTCATGGACTATTTGTGTCATTTTCCCTTGGTTATATTTCAGCCTATGAGTTCGTCAGGTCCGGCTGGCATCGTCCCCCATCGGACTCAATGTGCACCAAATCTGCAAATTGACTTCCCGAAACTTCGTCCTAAGATGGGCCGAGCACGAAATCCGGACTCAATAGGATACGAGCGCAAACGGACGCACCCTTAATGGTTACTCATTTCGTCTACAATAAGGAAACGGGCTATTATCGCTAGGTACTAAGACGAAAGAGCCTCATGAGATGCAGACGCATCACCACCAACCAGTGATTCCCACCTAACCAAGAAGATTTTGCTGAAGATGACGATGGTCCCTAATCATGTCCAATCCTGTTTGCATTGACTTCCATACGGTTGTGCTGCTTTCGTAACGCCATTTTCCATTGGAACTCTCGAGAGGGAGGACGCACGCAACTCGACCCTCGTTCAATGCCCTGGATGGTCACTTCCTTTCCCTTTCATCTGCTAAAGTTACAGTAGTGGGAGGGGACCGGAATAAGGCTGCGTTTTGGCTCTTCGGACATAGGTCATGCGGGATTTGTCACTATCTTCAACAATCCGACCTAGGTGTTCCTGAACATTAGTTTAGACAATCTATAGTTGCGTGGTCCGACGAGTTTCCGAATCATGCACCTCTTATCATACTAAGGGTGTGTTTATTTGGGTGAAGAAATTTTCCGCAAATTAGTTTTCTGAACTTTCGCGCATCCGTTTTGCTAAAGATGATCGGTCAATAGAAAATCATTTACGGTAAATGAAAATATGCACGCTTAAAGTTAGGAAAACTCAGATAAAAAAAAAAGTTGGGAAAATGAATCGGTCAATAGAAAATCATTTACGGTAAATGAAAATATGTACGCTTAAAGTTAGGAAATTTTAGATAAATAAAAAAAGTTAGGAAAACGAATTCTCGATTCTGAAAATGGGAAAACATTCTCCGGAAAAATGGTTTCCCCAAAAATATTACCTTTTATCATGAAGTTTTCCTCGAAATGAACACATCCTATGATGTGCCCATAATTCATCGACATAAGTTAAATGCGTACACGTGTTGCCCATTGCCCATTTATTTTTGTTTCGACTTATTAATAAATACCATTGTCCTCGGTGTAGAGTTTCGCATTTCTTGCCAAACATAGACATCGGCAATCTCTTTGATATTTTTTTTGGGGAGCCTTGAGTATCTCTGAACACAATTCGTTATAGTGTTAGAGTGTCTAATTCAAAAACTTAAATTAATAGATGAATAGAGAACATATGTTTATGGAGAGTATGTAAACCTTGTAATAACGTGCAAGGCGGATTAGCAAAGACATGTGAAGTTCTAAAATTGAGACAAAATTCTGACTCACGATAAAATTTAATCTGATAAATAGAGGGAGACTGTACACATAGCCTATAAATTTTATAGATAAGCGATGTGGGATATTTTAACAAATCCGTTCCGCCATTTTTATCACGTGCTTCGAATCCGTCGCTTGGCGAAGATTTGGGACAAACTGGATGCAATTTGTGGAAGTGTTGCAAAAAATTAACAAATTTCAATAGGTAAGAAATAGTTCGAAGACGAAAACCTGGCATGAAAGGAAGAACGGGGTTTGCGCTTGAAATTTGAGGCTGTCAAATGTCCATTGAATCATCACGGACGATGTATATCTTTCTAAGGTGCAACGTTGTATAGCGATTTTTTTAAAATTTTATTTTAGGATTTATTCCTATTTTAATTGTAACGAAACGTCGCCACGTGTCAAAATGGATAGAAATTATATATTCCTTGCTCAATTAAATTGGAGTGCTCGAGCCAATTCATTTGAATCGGGGCATACGAAATGAAACTGCCATATCCTCATCAAATGCTGGGAAAATTATTTACAAAGTCCTAAACCTATTGCACTTTAACCAATTCAATCTTAAATTCTTCAATTTTGCCGATTGAGTCTTAAATTTTTTCACATTTTGCCAACTGAGTCCATCTGATCACTTTTAACTAGAAATTGCTATTGTGGACGTTGGTAGTGCCACGTAGGACGGCCAGCATTGACATGGACAATTTTATATAATTATTTTAAAAATTGAATTTTATTTTTTTTTCTTTTTCTTTCTTTCTTTTCCCTTTTTTTTTTACCAAATTCGGCAAGGGCCGGCGACCCTCCCTAGCCACTTGGCGAGGGCTGCGAAGTCCTTGCTCAGACCTGGTGAGGGCCTCGCTTGTGAAGGATAAGGGTTGGCCAGCGACCCTCGCCGGGCTTCAAAGAAAAGCAAAAGAAAATAAAAAAAGAAGAAAAAATGATAAAAAAATTTTGAAATTTTGAAAAAATTATAAAAATCATACACGTTAGCGTCAGTCGTGCCACGTAGGACAGTTGTCATTCACGTCAGCGATTTCCGGCTAAAATTTTCAAGATTGACTAAATTGGCAAAACGTGAAAAAGATTTAGGACTCAATTGATAAAATTGAAAAATTTAAAACTGAATTGACTAAAGTATAATAGGTGTAGTATTTTCTTGGATGATTTTTCCTCAAATGCTAATAGGCAGCAGGAAGATGGAGGAGATGAAGATGTTGCTTACATCACATGGCAATGCCAGCTCTTCAGCTTGATTGACCCACGTTAGC